TTTTGTGCTCAAAAGAAAATTAGTCCAACTCAATGGGTTATATAAACTTGAGTGAATAATATAAAGGGAAAGAATACATGGGAGTCAAGACAATAGAGAATTTGCTTTAAAGAATTTTCCAGAAGAAAATGGCAGAAATTGCACTCACTGCACATGTAGAACAAAGTTTCTTTTAAAAAATATTTGAATTTCTCCATTACTTCTTATAATAGGAAAAATGAAATGTAAGAGTGACATGCTTTGAAGTATGAATCACTACTGATAGCTGTTATATTAACTCTTCCACTTTTTTTTTTTTAAATATTATTGAGAGTAATAATAACAATAATCACAACAGTGATGATGATAACTGCAATGATAATTATAATAATGTTAACAAAAACTTAAATAAAATTGAAAACAGGTACAGTGCTATTACTAATTAATATTGCTTTTGGAAATTCCTCCAAATGTTGCAAGTCTCACATACATTCTAGAACAAGTTTTTATTCATGTCTTTTTTTGTGTCTTCGTTGTGAGTGATGCTTTCTGATACAGAAGTGAGAAAGGAAAGGAACAAATGTGTCGAAAGAAAGGAAACTATGCTGAAAGAGAAAGCAGATTACATGTCAATCTGCAAATTAATATGGAGTGAAGCCCAACAGGTGCCATAACTCCAAATCTTTTTATGTTTCTCATCTGCATGAATGATACAGACAGAGAAACCAGCTGCAAATATGTTGGGTTTACTGAAACAAAATACTAGAGAGGGTACTAAATACCAGGCTGTTATCAAGGATACAGAAGAGGGATTTTGGATCATCTTGGCACAGTAATTGTTACTCTGTCTCAAAACACATGTTAAATCAACATATGGTTCAAACAGGCTGGGATAAAGAAAAGGTTTTCAAAGCAGACTTAGGAAAAGAGAAAAAAAAAAAAAAAAACAAATATATTAACATTTTATAGTAAAAAAAAAAAAGAGAGAGAGAGAGAGAAAGAGAGAGAAAGAGAGACATGAAATTACTGGCTCCAGAAGTAGACTACATGGTCCTAGAAATTAAAATAGTAATTAGAGAGACTTTATTAATTCATTTATTTATTTTAATTTATTAATCCATTCATAAAACTGGTGTTATGGACATGAGAGTAGAAGAGTTTCTTTGTTTTCAAAATAGAGTAATGTGTTCAAGAAATATGAATTTTCAGGTCACTGAGAAGCTTAGTTAATGAATCTATTCCATTCTCTTTAACACTGTTGCAGATAAAAGACAAGAAAAGTAATATAAGAATTTTTGATAGACCCATAGGTACCGCTAAGAGTGGATTCTGTGCCAGTAACTTCAGTGGGAGAATCTGGCTAAAACAATCTACCAAATTTTCAACACATTTTTGTAAATCCTGTTGCTAACTAATAACAGAATCGCTCATCTAAAATGAAACACCAACACAAATGATTTGTAGATTTGTTCTACTTGAATCTATATTCATAATATGTAATAGTAATTACTTTCAGTAATATTCCATCTCTATTAAAATTCATAAAAGGCATAAAATTCATGTCTTTTATGTTAAAATGTTTCCATGTCATAATTATTAGATTTTTCCACTTGTATTAGAATATTACTTTAATAATAATAAATAATAATAATAATAAAGTTAAAAAGTTGAAGTGGGAAATAATTATAGTTAATATTCCAAACATAACATTATGACATAGTATTTGTCGTATTCTCTTTATAACTTACTCTCAGAAAAAGGATATAAGTCTAGTGCCAGAGTTTGTTGATCTACTTATTCATTTAACCAAAGTGACCCTAGTCTGTGCATTGGCATTCTTTTGTGCTTGTGTTCAAATTTTAACTACTGCAATATATTGAAGAGGTGGGAGGGTGGGAGCTATAATAGAAAAGAATGAAATACAATCATAAGAAAACACCTTCATTTTTAATGCAAATTCCAAAAATATTATTGTAACGGTGCTCACTTGTACTTAATGGAATTGATTAGTAACACATCAAAGATAAATTGAGTTAAATAATAGAATCACAAAGTCTAGCTTGGAACATATTTCTGGAGGTTATCTGGTCCAAATCCACTTCTTCCCCTCAAAGCAGGACCAGCTTCAAAGTTGGATCCAAGTTAAAAGTTAGATCAGGTTGCTCAGGGTCCTATCCAAATAAATTTTGAATACCTGCAAAGATATAAATTTTCACTGCTGTTCTGGGAAACCTGCTCCCATGTTTGAGCAGCCTCATTGTGAAATGTCCCCATTGTCTAGTCAGAATTTCTTTTGCTGTACTTTGTACCCATTCCTACTTGCTGGCTGAAGTAAAAATGTGCAGGACCTATTTATTTTCTCTGCTCAAATGAAATAAATAAAATAAATAGAAAACATCACAAAGCTTTGTTTCCATACATTTTAATTGGATATGTTATACCTAAACCATAGCATTTTCCCTCACTGAGGATTTCTTACCAGAGACAAGCATAATATATATGGAATGCGTTCCTTCATATCTGCTTCTGCCAAAAAACAGAAAATCCTAAATATGGACTTACTGGACAGTTATTGTATAATCATAGAATCAAATAGGTTGGAAAAGACTTTTAACATCACTGAGTCCAACCATCAACACAGCCTACAAAATCCCATTACTAAACTATGTCCCAGGTTATCAAGAAAGACATAACAAGTCAAGTCCTAAACTAAATGCAGTAGGCTTATCTCTACATTTAAGAAGATGTCTTAGGGAAAGAAGATATTCAAATTTCAGTAATCTTGATTGAAGAGAAAAAAAAAAAAAAAAAAAACAAAAAAAAACACAGGGAGAGGAAAATTTGGAGCTTTTCAGACTGATGCTTGTAGTTAGATCCTGTATGTAGTGAGATAAATGGCAGGAGGTATGGAGACAAGTAGTCCTAAATAATTTTATAATTCAAAGTATTCCAGCAGCAACTTTGATCATCCCAATCATTCAGAGATCAAATATGTTAATCTTCCTAATGCTAATACAATTCAGATCATTATTAAAGATAATTAACACTTCCTACCACTTAAAAGTTCATCTTTTCTATGGAGGAAATAACAATGAAATTATCTTTCTTATTTGTGGGGAATCCCACAAAAATATTCACCATCAAAACATCATAATTCTACTAAGAAATAGTGTAAATCTTTTGGGTGAACAATTTTTAACCAGTCTTATCATCACTGGTATTATATGTATCTTTTGGCTACATGTATCTTGAACTAGACAAGAAGCTAAGCTCATTTATTTTTTAAAAAGTTAATTCTTTCCTAATGTCAGTGTTTTTATTGTTATTGTTTTTAGATATTCTCTTTTGATCTTTGGATATATTATTTTAATATGCAGAATGTGAAATATTTTGGATCCAATATTATTTACAGTGAGAATGGTCAGAAACTCCAGATGTTCATAAACAACAAAAATCAACTTAGTTGTCTCCTTCATTCCTTGTTATAACTGAGAAATGATTAAACTAATCCAGATGTTTCTGTGCCTTTAATTCCATCTGTGTTACAGACAACAAGGCTGCGGTTATCAATGAATTATTGTATATTAATCTCCAGAAACTTTGATATAATAGTCTGTGTTGTGGTTTAACACAGCAGGCAGCTAAGCACCACACAGCCATTTACCACACAGCCATCCCACCTAGCCCAGTGGGATAAGGAAGAGAATCAGAAAAAAAGGTAAAACTCATGGGCTGAGATAAAGATAGTTTAATAGGACAGAGAAGGAAGGGAATAACAACAACAATAATAAGAGTAATAAAGACAAAGGCACATACAATACAAGTTATACATTATGCAATTGCTTACCACCAGCTGGCCCATACCCCAAACAGCAGCCACCCTTCCTTAAACAATCCCTCCACAGTTTTATTACTGAGCATGATGCGATATGGTATGGAAACTGCCTTTGGCCAGTCTGGGTCACCTGTCCTGGTTCTGTACCCTCCCAGCTCCTTGTGCACCTCCTGCCCCCTCACTGGCAGGGCAGCACTAGAAGCTGAAAAGTCCTTGGCTCTGGGTAAGCCCTGATCTGCAACAACTAAAACATCAGGTTTTTATCAGCATTATTCTCATCCTAAATTCAAAACACAGCAACATACAAACTACAAGGAAGAAAATTAATTCTATGCCAGCTGAAACCAGGACAGTCTGATATTCTGTAAAATATGCATTTGTTCTCAATATTAGAAATAAATCCTGAGGATTTTGCTAAGTAATTCTTAGTATTCATTAGTAAGTTTTTGTTTGTTTGTTTGTTTGTTTTTTCCCCTCTTGCTAGCTATGGTGCTGCAGAAATGTCAATTCTAGGAAAATAATTTAAAAAAAAAATAATAAAAAGTAAAAAGTAAAAAGATGAAGAAGATATGAATTTCAGTCCCAAAGGCTTTATAGCAAGATAAATTAATAAAATCCATATAACAGATTATAACAGATTGCAGACTTGAAATACATCCTTTTTGCTACTCCACTTTTTTGCTGAGAATGTATGGAGATGGTTTGTTGTTAGCTTTATTTCTAATTCTAAAGGCCCCAAATATCTCTGGTGATTTGTAAATAAGGTTTTGTTTCCTCTTTATTTTTCTTTTATTTCTTTTTTTTTCTTTTTTTTTTATTTTTTTTTTCCATGCGAAGACTGCTTTCTTAAAAAAAAATATGTATCAGTATTTTACTTTATTTGTAAAATGTGTTATGTGCACAGAACACATAAATTTTTCACTGTGGTCACCTACGTGTGTTTGTATTTTACTGGGATAAAAGCTACAGTTAGAAGAGTAAGCAAAGGTGTTTTTTTTATTCTTCTCTAAGTCATGAGGACTTAGCAGAACTTCTCTGTACACTACCGTCTATTCAGTACCCAACACAAAATCAAGTCAGGATTGAAATGTCTCCAAATAGATGACATTTGAAAGAAATAGGTAAAACCAGCGTTCATTCCCATAAGAATGCTCAAAGCCGTGCAAGTAGATGTTACTTCTTGCTGTTAGGTGAATACCCTTTTTTTTTTTTTTTTTTTTTTTTTTTTTTGTCACAGATGAATGAGCAAAGCTCCAAAGAGGGTAATATTGCATGACAGTATATCTTTCTATATCTTTCTGAATAGCAAATGTTATTTATTTGTATCATCATAATCTTCTATAAGGTTAATAGAGAGTGATGGGATTTTAATAGCTCAACCTGATTCAGAGGTACAAGAGACTTTCCATATACCCAAGCAAAGTTTGGGGTCTTCAGCTTTTGCATCTGATTTATGGTAGAACTGAGTTTTCCAAGTGTTAGCTATATTTGCATTCCTTGTTTTGAAGCCAGCTCTTGAGTTTAGAAAGTTTTTATATTACAGTGCCCTGAGATCTGTGTCATAACATATATAAACTACTGACTTGGACTGATTAAAGAATATGGACCAAAAGAAGAACAAACTTATATTCCTGGTAAGACCAATAATATTGCATCACAGAAAATATATATTTAAGAAAATTATGCAGTTAGCCGATACAACAGTCATATAGATCCAAAAGAAGACCATTGCCTGGGAAAGATTCAAATTCAGTTAAGAGTTTCTGACTAAGTGAACATGAAACAGTATGAAAGTAACTCATGTTAATATACTAAATATGTATATTCACACAGTCAAGTATTCTCTTGTTTAAAATCATTTCTTTTTTTTTTTTTGAGTTTCACTTCCCAACAGTAATGATACATCAATTCATGTCACATCATTAAAGTTGTAGTGGTAAACATCTGACACTGAAAATGAAAGAATGTGTGAATTAGGGGATGAAATGTACTTTTCCAAATTTATAAACATGTGTATATGGAAAGTGTTAAATATTATAGAGCAACAAATTAAAAATATTTTTTTCTATGTCAGTAAACTTGATTTTTACACTAAGGCTGTATGGCAGCCCTATGAACTGAATTTAAATATTCTTCCCTTATTTACATAATAACTCATTTATTCTAAAAGTAGAGGTAGTAAATGAATGCATGTTTAATAAAGTAGACATAACCTCCAGAGAACTGACAATTTTTCTCACTGTTACTTTTGATCTTTTGCCTCTGTCATGGCAGGTTGACTAGGAAGATAATTAAAGTACTCTGAAGTGGTATTTTGGGATATAAGAATGCGTACTCTAGAAAGAAAGGAACTACATTTGATTACATCTGTTTTGGTACACCAGTTATCCATAAGATAAGACATTTCTGTATGTCCTGTAATGTAAGTTAATCAGAATAGTGAAATTCCTTCTTGCTCCATTCTTAAATCATGCTGCCAACCAGTCCTTTCTAATTATGTATTTTACTTTTCTTTGCTAAAGCATGTCTTTGATTTCCCTTCTCTAAACAGGACTTGGATTTCTGCATCAACTAATAAACTAATTATTTTGATATGATTACTGACTAATCAGTTATCAGTTAGAGTAATATAGTTCACTACAGCACTAAGAGATTTCCTTCCCAGGAAACATGGAGTCAAAAGAACAAGCATGTGTTATAATTTACTATAATACTTTCCTGTCATCAAATACAAAAGCTTTTTTCCATTGTCAAATATAAGCAAATTTATTGGCCTCACATAGTGAGGCTGCTGACAAAAAGTAAATTTTGCAAATCAGCCCACACTGCAAAACAGGGACTTTTTAATGTTTTGAAATATTTTTTGAAAGAGAAACAATATTTACATGTAGTTCAGTCCTTTTTTTTCTGTAGACAGTGTACATTAAATGCAGTCCAAATAGGACAACAGGAAAGCCAAGTTTTTTTTAAGATCAAGTCAGGCATAAAGCCTTGGTATGTAACCATGTTTCATTTTGCTCTTGCCTGCTCTACCCATCTAAAACATCATATTCCATTCAGATAAATGTACCCAGAAGTCTTTAGGGTATGGCAGGTTACAAAAAGAGAATGTAAAGACAGGGCAAATTCTGTCTTGGTCCTTCAATGCACCTGAGGATTAAAACATTTTGTACTATACAGTAAAACAAAATTAAGTCCAAAACCTTCCTCGTCTCCATGGGTGCTAACTGTGCTGCTGAGACGGTGACTCTGATGACCAGATGATTCCCCTTATCTACAGCTGTAAAGCCAACTAATTCACTTAGCCTGCCTGCAGAAAATCTTTGGGATACTCAAAGTCACCTGCGGCCCCCCAAAAATTGGACCCACCTCTAACGCTGACAGTTGAATTCTTACTTCCTAGAATTTATGGTGTTTACAAGCCCTCCTTCTTCCTCACACTTCAAGTGCAAACATTTAAGCAAGTTGGATGAATCACTGCAGTTCCTTGGCATTCGCCCTCCTTTCACAAGAAATCTTCTGTCTTATGAGGACTGGAACAGATTTTCTACAGAATGAATTTGCACATTCTAATTTCTGTTTGCTCAGTCTCCTGAAATGTGGCTGAGATACTTCCTCTTAAAGCGTCACATAATTATGCCATGCACAATCCTTTGCAGAAGACCTGATGTTTGAGACTATATCTTCTTTTGTCTCCTCTTATGTAGTCAGTGTTCAAGAAGTATGTCCAACTCTTGCCTTGAAATCCCTTTTTCAATTGTCACAAGATAAGGTGATGTGAAAAAAAACTTATTAGCATTCCATATCTTCCCTCGGATGACACTGGTGGCAATACCGTAGAAGACCTTTCGATCAGCCCTGGGAGGTGAATAAGTCTTGGTTGTGTTGCTAAGTGTTTTGTGGAAACAAAAGGAGGATCGTTTAATAATGGAGATGACTTCTGACTAGCAGAGCTGATCATATCCGTTAGTATCTTGACATGGTCATAAGTCAGTGCTCTGGTAAAAACACTCAGAGCTATCAGTATATGGTATGTGCCAAATATTTCATCACTATTTTCTTCTCATTTTGGCATTCTGACATTTCTTCTTTCTACTACTGAGGGTATGAACATAATTGATGAGCACCTAGCTAAAGACCTTCTGGATGACCTGATACTTAGAGATCCCTCTTCCTCCCCTTCATATTCCCCAGGTTGACTTGGTATATCTTTCATGTTCTTACATCAATGATGTTCAGTCTATTATGGACCTGTTGATCCTGTTTGTTATTCATGTTTACAACTGCATGTCCCTGTTGGGATAAGTCTTTTCAGACCTGTAGGTTCCAAGGTATTCCTTCAGTAGACAGAAAACCAGCCTTTTTTCCTTGAGAGTTTGTTTTCCTGGTAAATGGCCACTGTTTGGTGGCATGCTTTGCAATATGTATTAACAGACTCAAGATGGTAGATACAAGGATGTCTGGAGCATGAATGGCAGTGTGTATAGGTTGTTGCATGACAGAAAGGCTCCTGAGGTTCACTGTCTTACAGGTTTCACCTGTCAGGTAAGGGACGAAAGAGAACAGTAAGAACTACAAAACAGAGCCAATCACATGGTTTGGTCTTGATGCTTCTGGTGATGCCAAAACTGTATAAACAGAGCAAATCTGCCCAGGAATAGACTCAGCTGGAACATTCAATGGAGTTTTCTGCATTTTTCAATAAACAGTGCCATAACTTTGGACCATAAAAGAGCCGTCTCTTTAGATTAATGACTTTGCCTCAGCCATGTTTTTTTCCAGTAACAAACTGTTCCAGCAATAAATAAAAAACTTTTGTAAGACAGGAACAAATCTCATTTTAGGCAGGGTTGTTTATCTAAAGTAACCTTGGTCTGCCAGGGCAATGATCTGTAGTGTATTTAGGGCACCACAGTATTTGATCTCTTGCTTGAGAAACCATTTCTTATAGCACCTTATTTACAACCAGGAGTAAACTGCCTCCTGGTTTGTTGTGCTAAGAAAAGGGCTTCATCTCAAAAATAAATTGAGCATTAACTTCTTTTACATATATGGCTTCGGAGTGTGAAAAGATCATAATTATAAGCTACAGCTAGGAACCGTCAACTCCCCCTGTTCGAATCAGACTTTTCAATCCTTATTTTCAGAGACTGTGACACCTTTAAACTACTATTTAGAACACCTCAGTAGAAAAAAAAAAAAAAAAAAAAAAAGAGAGAGAGAGAGAAGAGTATTTCTAAAATACATTTATGTAAAATCATAAAGATCTCTCACATTAATAGACATTATTCTAGCCATAGGAGAGGAACAAGTTTATGTTTCTCACATGTATCATTGATCTTTTTCATTGCTGTGTTTTTGTTGTCTGAACTGTAAAACAGAGATAATGAGACACATTTTGTGACCCATTAAGTAAAATTAAAGCTACTTCATAGGTGTTGTAAGATAAAAAAGGGGCTTTTTTTTTCTGTTGACATTTTTTTTTTTTTAAGTACAACCTTTCCACATCAGATACCATTGCCAGCCAAAGGCACACATGATCAAGAAAAAAATAAAAATGTTGAATGCTATTTGAACTTGATCTTAAACCCAATAATGTAATGTCATTCTCTGGGCTTCTATTTACTTGAGCAGTGCAAGAATAAATCTCTTAAGATTAATCTAAAGCTAATAATTCAAGCATGTAATTATATTCCTTTCTATCTTACTAAATAAATCTAAAAATATTAATAATTATAAAAATCACAATGGATATTAATTTGACCAGTGCTCTCGTAGCTGAAAATAAAGTTTTGCAGTGACATAAACAGTGACATACTCTTTTATAGGTTCCCTGAACTGTCATTCATTTACTGGTGTGGAAAAAAATCCTGCTGTCACTAAATTAGGATCTGAAAAGCAAAATTAATTAGGACTTTGAATTAGTCCTAATTAATTAGTCACTTTGAAAAACTGGTTAGATTTAATTCTCGGTTTACATATTCACTACTTTTAAGAATATATATATATATATATTAATTATAATAATCTGGATTAATTACATTACAGGCTGTCAGCATGCCCTTCACTGTCACTGTTCATCTTAGTTAATAAAACGTCTGGAAACCTCATAATATTCAAAAAGATATCAATATTATCTTGTTATGTCTCATAATAAAAACATAAGCTTTGATTACCTGAGAAGGTTTTTTGCAAAGTTTTTTTAAAAACAAAGGGGAAAGAAGAAACACTTAAAGGGTTTTCATACTTAGTAGCTTCCACTTTGATCAAGAAATATAAATATTTATGTGTTACTATATTCAGAGTACAATTAAGAAGAGAAATTTAGGTTTAATCTCAAATGGGTTAAACTTGCTTTTCAGTTGGTCATTATTTTTAAAACTTCAAACAGATAAAGGGGAGATGTTTCATTTGTTCTAAGAAAAGATACTGCTTACATGTGTTTGCATGTGTGTATGTGACAGAAGAGTTGAAAAAACTGCAAACTGATAAGATTCCACCAAGTTCTGGTCAAGTCCAAAACTACATCTAAACAGAAGAGCTGCAAGCAGAGTTTATCCATTTGCATAATGAAGTCACTGTGGATGCATAACAAATACAATTTATATTAAGGTATTATCACAGGCACCAAAGATTAGAATCAGGTCCTTTATGGGCCGAAGCATAATATTGACAAGAACTACCAATTAAAAAAATATATATATTTCTTCTCCCCCCTCCCATTCTAACCACATTATATATCATGCACAGAAGGGCATCTTGGAATAATTACATTACAGACACAAACCTGTCAGTATCCCCTTCTCTGTCACTATGGACCCAGTCCAGGCTTTGTACATGTGTGACTTTCACAGTAACACTTGTTAGGTTTAAATTTGAATTTCAGACCATAAGTTGCTTTGCTTCCTCCCTGTAGAATTATGATGCTTAGTACGTTATGAAGAGATGACTTAACCATCATTATATTACAAAAAAGTGTGAGACAAGGAGGACAGTTATCATGCTTGGATGAATCGAGCTGCAGCAATGTGGTAGTCTTTCTATACTAAACAGTTCATGTACTTTTCCCTAAACAAATGGTTTTGTGTCTTTTTTTTTTTTTTTTTTTTTTTTTCTATCTCCTTCAGCTTTTATCTCCCTTTGACAAAATAAGAATACTGAAACCATGTATCGCTCTTTGTTTACCTGGCCTGATGTAAAATACTGTGGTGCCATCTGAGTCATCTGAGCCATATACTTACATAACTCAAATATTAGGATTTCTGTACAGACTCTACTTGTTTATACCATGTGTGACCCAAGTTAGCCCTGTAGAGTTGAATCTGTGTGGTCTTCAGTCTTTTAGGTTTAGGACAGAAAGCAGTAATTTCCTATCTGTTCAATAAAAAATAATGTAACCTTTCATGTAACCATGATCTCACAGAGGAAGGATAACTATGTTGTATTGCAGTAATGAAATAGAACATTTTTGAGAACATTTCTTTGCTTCACAGTAAACAGTTTTGATTCTTTTATGTAGCATTTTGCTATAGAAATTAGCCTCATCAGTACAATTTGGGACATTTTCAAATACACTTTGAAAATACACGCCTTATCCTTTATACACAGGAGAATATTTTCTGAGTAACTCCTATTCATAAAAATGTTACTATTTTATATGAGTAGCAAGCCTTAATGAATGTATACAAACATTGTAATATATTCTGCATGGGTGAAATGATTCTATCATTCCTTTAAAAAGTCTCTCTCTATATATATAACATATTTACTTGTATTTCTTTGACTTCATTTGAGAATAAATACATCTGGGATTATTCATCTCTTTCCCCAAGTGTCAGCATCAGTCTTACTGCCATCTGACAACACCATTTTGATATATTATCAGCCTAACATTCTGGTTAAGGTTAGCTGCAAATGCAGCTTATAGGACTGAAAATAAAATAGCATCTGAAAGGCACTACATTTATTTTATTGTCTAAGGAAAAAAATAAGAATAAATGCTGTTCTTTATTTAATTTCCATTATAAGGAAATGCAACTTTTTATAACTTTATCTTCTCCTGGACACCACAGTACAATTCTGAATAAATCAGAATTATAAGATCTCTATTTTTCAGTGGTCTGAAGGAGGTCTATTCAATCATAAAATAATAACACATACGAAAGCATCATAAAATCCTAATAAAGCCGTTCTTCTGTTTCTTAGATCATTATTATTGTTATAATTATTATTATAATTATTAATTATTAATATTATTTTATCACAGAAGTATAAATGTGGGACAGAGGCTTAAACAACATTTTGAAGTGATTACCCAACCCCCCAAAGAATTTACTTTAGTTTTATTATTATTGTTTTGTTTTGTTTTGTGTTAAGGTATTCTAAACTTGGATTAAATCTGCAATAGCAATGATGGCATCTGGAAGGCATTTTAGTAACAGAAGATCAGCCAAAATATCAGAGGAATGCAACATGTGGACAAAGCATGCTAACTTGGTTTATGCAACTAGGCACTTACACACTCTACTGTATTAAAACTATTAAAACTTCAAGCTATCCTTTGATGTAAAGCAGTAGGATTCTGATTCAGAGTGTGTTTATGCTCCATGAATTTCTTTTAATAACATTAGTAGAGTCAGTATTGTATATTATAACTTGGTGGTAAGCCAAGTTATATATGGATATATGTGTTTATCCATATGTTTATATGGATAGCCTTGAAAGTTAAAAACATTGTAAAATAACATTTTTTACTCCTGGATAAAATATAAGCTGATTTTGTTACATCATTTGGAAATCTAAGAATTATTATTATTATTATTATCATTATTATTATTATTATTATTATTATTATTATTATTATTTAATCTGTGCCAAGGACAAATTTGTCTTTTTACACAAATAAAATCTTTATTTTCTAGTTTACTCATAAAAAGTCTTATTTAATCACTTTGTTTATGTTTACGCAGAATAGATATTGGAAATAAAGAAAAAATGATACATTTAGCAAAGTTACCTTCTCAAGAGTTTGTATGTTGTCAGTACAAACTCAGGAGTACTTGATTCAGACATCCAGTTTGGTTCTTCTGTCCCATATTCCTTGTCTTTTCAGAGTACTGTGCTTGCATGGCACTCATGGCAACTACAGTTGCTGCATATCAGTACATAGGAGGCAAGATATGTCTCTTCCCACGTGTGTGCCTATATAAATCCTGTTGTGACTTACCCCAGAATCATTTATAGCCATTCGTCAGTTAGGTTACAGAAAGTGAGTTTTAACAGTTGTGCTGAAACTGATAACTTTTGAACTTTCAGATACCTTGTAATTGATTCACATGGAAAACATCAATCATGAAGTCCTGCCTTAAAAAGCAAAACAAAACAAGACCAAACACATATACAAGGCCAACCTGATCTAGTGGGTGGTATACCTGCCTATGGCAGGGAAGGTGGAATTAAGTGATTTTTAAGGTCCCTTCCAACCTGAGTCATTCTGTGATTCTGCAACATACCATGATTAGATGTGAAAGATAATAGT